GTGCTGAGTTAGGCGACACAGGTAAGGGTATTTATGAGAAAGGGAAGGGGAACAAAGACATCAACAGAAGGAAGGCATTTCTGTAGGTGCAGAGACGCTAACAGTGATGCCAACTCTAAACAATGTTTTTAATTTTCAGTCCAGATAGTCACAACATCAGCTTTCTTGTTACCTTTGCACACAGTTTGGGATACAATGCTGCTATTAGGCCCAGTTCAAAGGTTATTTTGCCCTGTTTTAACATTCCAATGATTTGAAGAGTAAGACATGCAAGGCAGTTCCTCTAGGATGGTAGCTCCAACTCCATATTAAAGTGGCTCCGTTTATATTATTTTTTACAAAATGTGTATGTGAGGTCTGACTACAAAATAAGTAGAATTGATTTCCAAAGCCCTCCCAAGGCCCCTAAAAACCGAGTTTTTTACAGTGACCCCTCCGGCAGTCCTAGCTGCTGGCGGGCACAGATTCGGCTCATCTGCCCTTCGGATCACCTGCCACAAGCTTTCCCTGCTCTGGTCTTCACTTCTACTTTGTGGTACCCACACTTCCTTCCATGGTAGCTTTTCATTATCCTGCCTGCAACCTGCTGGCTTCAAGTTCTCCATCATACTTTGAACTTCTGTGTCTCTGATCAGCTAACTAGCTGGGGTATGTAGTTAAGCAGATGCAGTAATAGTCCAGAGGATCCCGCCTGAATTTTTTGGTGTTGTTCAGGAGCTGGCATCTGTAGGTTCTCAGAGGAAAAGAAACACACTGAACCAAGGACAGTAAGACTTCCTGCCAAATCTTTGACACTGAATGTAAATGCAAAACTGAATTATACTAACAACACTCAAACATATTCTTTCTTCTTAGGTTTATATAAAAAAATTGCTTTGACACCTAACCAGATAAACTTCGTCTTTAGTATTTTCACTATAGCTCACCGTAAAAATGCAGAGAATAAAACATGGCCCTGAAGGAGAGCAACATCACATAATAAAGACGTGTGTGTGTGTTTGTGTGTGTTTGTGTGTGTGTGTGTGTGTGTGTGTGTGTGTGTTACCTTATCATCTCTGGCCTGTAGACACTGGCCCTTAGGGACCACCCAGTGGTAATGACATGCATAAATGAGAAGCTGCAGCTCAGACAAATCAAATGTTAAACACTAATTAGTTAGCGGCAGAATTAGACTAAAAACAGAGTTGTGCTGACAGCCTTGGCTACCCATTCATTTAGGTCTAGGACTCAGAGACATGACAGAAATGACAACTCCGCTCCGAATTCTCGAAATATCTACCCCTCCTTCTGCCCCACACATACATGTTAGTTTTCTGTATGAAATTACAACTTACATGATGTTTCCCTCCAGACCACTGACCATAATGCTCCATTTCTTCCACCAATTCATCACAGGCTTTTTCAGAAAATATGGGAAACCAAAAGACATCTGGACAAGGCTATAAAACATGGCATCACCATTGAAAGAATAACATGTTATGACATAACTAATAACTAGCGTTTCAAAAGTAATAGGACATAATATTCAATATTCGTCTTGCTTAGATGACCTTCTAAGAAGTTTGTCTAACATTATTGACATTACTGTTAAAAACAGTACTAGTTAACAGTAATAGTTCTCTGGGGGATTTTAACATTTTCTAAAACATTAAAAAAAAATTTTTTTTTTACATTTTATCAGTGAAATCAAGATGAGTCTTCAAGCGGTCAGTCAAGCAGACACTGTGATGTAGTTGTAACTCCACAGTGCAAACACTTGGTGACTTTCATTCTGTCCTCATCATGTATCTGTGTGTATCTGCATGCATGTATGTGTGTGTGTGTGCATGTGTGTGTATGCACCTGTGTGTGCATGCCTGTGTATCTGTGTGTGCATATGCATACACACACTTAGATGGTGTTGCACATGCTGAACAGACCTGCTTTCTGAAATGTCTTAAAATGATTTACACTGATTTGCCACAGAAATGAAGTAATTGTGTATACAATCCACTAAAACATATAATATTTATACCTTAACAGGTATAAAAGAAGTCTTTCAATATGTATAAAATAAAAAACTTCCAAGTGACTAGAAAACATTAACTGGCAGTTTTTTTTTCTCACAGTACACAAAATGAAGGGGTATCTCAGAATCAAACATGTCTGACATTTTCTGAAAAAAGGTGTTAGCAATATCTGGAACACTGATCTAAAATAGAGTTCATTTTTTAAAAAGACCTCTCTCAGAAGAGATTCTTAGAGCCCAATTTCTTTCAAAGATAACCTTTCACTGAAAGAGTCCTGCACCAGAGATCCGCCAATGGTTTCCTTATTTTTAGTGGTTTGAGAAAGCTCTGACATTTGGGAGCATGTTTTAAAAAATGCATGATCTTAAAATGATTGTTAATCTCCATGTTCTACATTTTTACAACTATATGACCTTTAAAGTTATAAAACTGGTAATTAAGCCACATGAATTTTACCCAAAGGATAGGTTCTCCATTTTTACAACATCCTCTGCTAAAGCAGTACTGCAGTTAATAATATTCTTTTCTGGAAAACATAGCGAAATGCTCTACATACCATAGTAATTATCAATACAAACCTGTTCAACTATATTTTCAGTGAAAATCTTTGAATAATCACGGCTTATATACTTTTCCTTCCAGTCCTACAAAAAAAAAATCAATTGCATATATTAAAGAAAATGCTTTTTTACAAATACTTTACTAAAAAAAATGAAAGTATATGCATTTTAGAAATTGCTCAAACAACTTATAAATGACTATGTGTCATGGACAAAATAGGAATTTTCAGAAACCATAGTTTATGGTTTTAAGTCTTTGCCTCGTATCTTTCTGTGAAACACAACATTTTTATTTATGAGGTTTTATACCTCAGGATTTTAAAGCCTGAGTAATCTTATAGTGATTAGATTTGTATGCTATATCCCATACATATACACCAGGGAAATAAATATGTGTTTTAAACTGAACAATGACGAAATCCTATCAACAAATATTAGTAAATACTAATTAGCAAATTAATCAACTTGAGTCTTATACTAAAGTGAATTACTCTAAAATAATTTCAATTTTTAAAATGTATTTCAAATTTCTGCTTTCACTTCAGTTTTTAATATTTATCAAAGAATGATCATAGGGTTACTAACACTTCTTTTAGTTACCGAAATTAAGATATAGGACTATATAGTAAAAAAAATAGATCCTTTTGATGCTAATTCATGAACCTGTTCCTCTCTTTGGCCATTCTCTGACACATAAACTACACACTAAGATACCTCAATTTTTGTCAACATCAGCTAAGGAATCCTTTTCCTGGGTCAACTATTTTCTTTAAAAACCCAATATTTAGAGGGTATATATTAAAATATGGAGTGGTTTAGTATCCAAAAAGATCTTAAATGTATTTAGACTTTAACAAAATTCTTAATTTTCTCTTTACCAAGTACAATTGTAGGGGGCCAGTGGGGAAGAACTGAGGTATGGATTCAAAATAATTTCAGTTAAATTATGTTTCAAAAAATATTTGTCTGGGGCTGGCCAAGTGGCGTGTTGGTTAAGAGTTGGCTTGGGATGCCAGCTCTAAGCAGTAGGGCCCTGGTTCGGATCCCACATTAGGGCCAGTGATGCTGTGCCCTCTACAGCTAAGATGGTGAACAACAACTCGACCTGGAGCTGGGCTGCCGTGAGTCGCCGGCAACTGCGTAGGCTGCTGTGGGGCTGCAGTGGGCTGCTGTAAGCTACTGTGAGTAGCTGGCAGCCAGCATGAGCGGCCGACAGCCAGCATGAGCTGCAAAGAGCCGCTGTGAGCAGCTGTCCAGTGGCCGGCGACCCATCTGCCTTACCCAGGAAGAGTGCAATGATAATACCAACATGGGCCAGTGAAGCGACGTCCTCCACAACTAGACTGAAGAACAAAAGNCTAGACTGAAGAACAAACGACAGCAACTTGTCTGTTCCCCTTCCCTGATTCTCCAACGCTGTTCCCCTCCCTCAATTGCCCAATAAAATCTTAAAAAAAACAAAAAAAAACAAAAATCCTTGTCGCTTTGAGACTGAAGATATTACAATTCAATTTATAATTCAATAGTTTTCATTAAATTATGATATCAGTAAATATACCAAGCAAAATTAAAAAATCATAGCCTATTATATCCTGATATAATTTCAGTTTCCTCCATCATAATTCTCTTCTAAAGATAAATCACCAAATAACAAAGAAAACAACAGAAACTTGTTTTACATTATTTTATTTTTCATAATTTTCTAACACACAGTGTTAGAAAAATGAATTTTGGCACCATGACTTAGAACTTTTTTCAAGTTTAACCTTTAAATTAAAAACAGTAGCTACAATAAGGGTATTTAAACCTCACTCAAAGAAATGGTGAAAAATCAAGTCATAAATTTTTTGTGTTTGGAAATTATTTTAAAGTGGAATAGGGAGAAGGTAATAAAAAGAGTAAGAAGGATAAAATGGAGACTATGCTGGGAAGACAAAAAGTGAAAAACCCTCCCAAAAAGAGAATAAGGAGGGAAACAAGGGCAAAAGGAAAGAAGAAAGGCTCACCAACTTTATTTTCCTGATACAAAATTCAAGTACTTAAAATTTTTTTTTTAAATCATAAAATGCTACTACTATCTCAAAAAAAAATTTCCTCATTATTTTCTAGAATTAAAAAAACAAAAACAATCTTTTTGACTTAAGAACACTTGGTGATTTAAGTCAACAAGAAATGGAAAGGCTTGAAGCTTTTCTAAATCTAATATCTACTTACTATAATCTATCTTGGAAAATTTATCTGAAGGAACATAGGTCTTGACTTCTAATACAAATGTTAAAAAAACATTTGTGTATCAATCTAAACAAAAATGTTTTCAACCGGGTATGCGCTCATTGTATTTTGTACTAAGTTTCTTAAAAAAAAACATTGTGTAATATTGTTCTTTAGATTCCATCAGGAACTACTGTAAAAGATACCTGCATAGGTAGTCAAAAAACGTGCACAATTCGTTGCACACAATTCAGTTAGAATTCCAATTTCCCAACATTTCAAAAATGGCCAATTTTCATTTATATCCATTTTATCTGCATGTTGATAAATAAAATTTCCCCCAGGTTTTTGTTAAATAAGAAAATATTATTAATCTCGTTTGTTACTTGTACATTTGTATCTGAATATCTTATCAACTGAAACACAAATTCAGAAAATTGTCATTATTCTCAGAGACAATAAGGTATAGAAATAAATACTCGCTTTTACTTTTTTTTCTTTCTTTTCTCCTCCAATCTGTGATTTAAGGCTCAGAGCAGACATTAGGAAATATCAAACAATTTTTTATAAAGTTTTTCAAATGTTTGGCCCAAAGTGAAGTTGTTCTGTTGAAGTTATTTAAATATTCCTCTGATCTTCTCAAGCACAACTTCAAACACATGTTCATACCATTCATTCATTCCAAAAAAAAAAGTCAATTCAATGAAAAGTAAATAACTTAGGGATCTATAAATGACACCGCGATGTATCTTGTTCCGTTTTTAACAGGAAGTCCTTCATGCAAATGCGTGAGTCTCCCTGGATGCATGAAGCTCCAGCCTTTTCTTGGTGATTCAATAGAGCAATTGTACCTTAGAAATTTGCAGCCACCTCCCTAAAAGAGATGGAACAAATAAATGTATCAGCCCATTATGTTGATTTTTTATCAGTGGCAAAAGTCAAAGTATGCCATATAAGCAGAAGCTTAAAAAACAAAAAAACAGGGTAAAGGCCTTTTTGTAATGACATATTTCTTTTGAAAAATGTAAAAAATAAAACACGTAATTACCTGGAAATCTTCCCCCACATTATTGAGTGCAATGTTGATGGTAAACGTAGAAGCATCGTGATGAGGGCGAAGAGAGCGCTGTCTATCAGGGGAGTATTTTACCACAAAATTCAACAGTGCAAACCCCTACAAATACAAAGCAGACCAATGGATTTTCTTATTAATAAAAACATAAAATAGTTTATTTACACAAAATCCGGTAGGCGGTCAGGAGGAACAGGAGGATAACTACCTTCGTATAATAGCCTGCAAAGACTTTCAGTGTAACTGGTGCAATAAACTCCCGGATAAAATGAAGCCATACATTCTCCAGATCAACTTGCTTCATGTGGATATCATCAGTTGGGACATTTTCATAACCACCAGATATACGGCTGTCCTAGAAACATCATTAATGACATCGTAAGGAGTCATCCACATGCAATTCACATTTATGTTATCTTGGAATATTTTTAACTACAAGATCATAATAAACAACAACAAAAAAAACTAAACATTGTTTAATTATGGTGTATCATCTGCTTTCATTGCAAAACTCAAAATAACTGAGGTGACATGGCTTTGTAAATGTGTCAATAATGAAGAAAAGTGCTGCCGAGTCCTAGACTGCTTTCCTACTGATTTAATGTTAACCTAAAAAACATAAGGCCACAGTAAGAGGTAACAAATGTTTATTTGAGAGCTAGAAGAATTGCGATTCAGAAAGCACTGACTCAGGCTGAAAATCAAAGTGCTGAGTTAGGCGACACAGGTAAGGGTATTTATGAGAAAGGGAAGGGGAACAAAGACATCAACAGAAGGAAGGCATTTCTGTAGGTGCAGAGACGCTAACAGTGATGCCAACTCTAAACAATGTTTTTAATTTTCAGTCCAGATAGTCACAACATCAGCTTTCTTGTTACCTTTGCACACAGTTTGGGATACAATGCTGCTATTAGGCCCAGTTCAAAGGTTATTTTGCCCTGTTTTAACATTCCAATGATTTGAAGAGTAAGACATGCAAGGCAGTTCCTCTAGGATGGTAGCTCCAACTCCATATTAAAGTGGCTCCGTTTATATTATTTTTTACAAAATGTGTATGTGAGGTCTGACTACAAAATAAGTAGAATTGATTTCCAAAGCCCTCCCAAGGCCCCTAAAAACCGAGTTTTTTACAGTGACCCCTCCGGCAGTCCTAGCTGCTGGCGGGCACAGATTCGGCTCATCTGCCCTTCGGATCACCTGCCACAAGCTTTCCCTGCTCTGGTCTTCACTTCTACTTTGTGGTACCCACACTTCCTTCCATGGTAGCTTTTCATTATCCTGCCTGCAACCTGCTGGCTTCAAGTTCTCCATCATACTTTGAACTTCTGTGTCTCTGATCAGCTAACTAGCTGGGGTATGTAGTTAA